AATCTTTAAAAAAAAATCTTACTATTATGGAAAATTTCAAGCATATATGAAAATAGAGACGGTAACATAATAAGCCTGCGTGTGCCCATTGCTCTGCTAAACTGTCAACTCCTGGAAATCTTGTTGCCCCCACCAGTGTTTCCAAGTAAATCCCAGACTTCATATCATTTTATTCATAAATACAAATATTTCAGTACTTTTTTTTTTTAGATTAATTTATTTGAGAGGGAGAGAATGAGCGAGAGAGGGAATACAAACGGGGAGGGGCACAGGGAGAAGCAGATTCCCCATTGAGCAGGGAGCCCGACACAGGGCTCGATCCCAGGACCCCAGGATCATGACCCAAGCCAAAGGCAGACACTTAACCGACTGAGCCACCCAGGCGTCCTATGGCCAGTGTTTTTAACTTTAGTTGTTCAAATAGATATGCCTCTCATTGAAGTTTTAATTGGCACTTCCCTAATGACTAATGATGTTGACTTGAATCCTCTTAAATCTATTGGAACTTGTTTTATGTTCCAGAATGTAGTCTCTTGGTAAATGTACATATGCACTTAAGAGGATTGTGTCCTCTACTTTCATTGCCTGGGGTGTTCTGTACTACACTTGATCTTAGCCAAAAGGCCGAGAAGCGATTGGGGGGTGTTCTGTAAATGTGAGTTTGAGGTGCTTAACGGGAACACCATGACTTCTGACAAGACAAGCTTTGTTGAAAATATTACAATTCAAGTATGGTAGTAACAGCGAGATGCACAAATGGGGGTAGTTTCTCCTTGTGAAGAGCTGTGCTTTCAGCTTGATTTCTATGAGAGGTGCCTCTTCAGTTGGCCTTAACTATGGTTAGCAAATTTGCTCTGGTTTCTTCTGTTCGACTTTATGTCTCCACATCTGTAGCAGAAACAATATAATTTGTTAGTAAATTTCTCAGAATCATCCTGTAGGAGCCAGCTCTATCTGTCTGTTGCTGCTAGCAGTCTGATAACTTAATGTATCCATATCCTGGAGAGGGTACTGGCTGGCTTTGACCATTCTGGTGTATGTCCCTGGACCTGGTGTTCTGTAGACTATAAAGAAAGTATAATTGAAGTGCGCTTTAAAAAAAATGTATATACTTGGATTCATCTTCTAACATGGTAACGTGTAAAAAGGCCTACTTCTAGTTAATGATTTGTTTAAAAAGCTTTGGGTTGGGCGCCTGGGTGGCTCAGTTGGTTAAGCGACTGCCTTCGGCTCAGGTCATGATCCTGGAGTCTCGGATCGAGTCCCGCATCGGGCTCCCTGCTCGGCAGGGAGTCTGCTTCTCCCTCTGACCCTCCCTGCCCTTGTGTGCTTTCTCTCTCTCTCATTCTCTCTCTCAAATAAATAAAATCTTTAAAAAAAAAAAAGCATTGGGTTAATGTTTCAGAATGAACAACATGGTACTTTGTGTTCGATTAGTAGCTTCATTGTTGAAATTCTTTGAAATCTTTTTTTTTTTTTTTTTTTTGGAGTAAGCTCTACGCCCGTTGTAGGGCTTGAACTCATGACTCTGAGATCAAGAGTCACATGCTCTACTCACTGAGCCAGACAGGTGCCCCAAAATTCTTAGGCATCTTAAGGACAGATTGACCAGTATGGATTCCAGGTTAGATAGCCGTTCAGGTATTCAGTGCTAGATATCATGTGCTTTAGGAATGAAGGTTTTTGTGAGATAAGGAAGGAGGCATTTTATAAATAATTCTGATTCAGTTGTCTCAAGAAGTCAGAGGACGAGTGGACTCCCAAGCCCAGTATCTCAGTAGCACACAGGGTCCTGGCATGGAGGGACGGTGGCCACCACCTTATCCACGTAATGGAGGGAGAAGAGGGAGATGCAGTCTCTGGCTTGAGGGCCCTGGACCGTTAGGGTCAGTCAGCCTGAGCTGGTCCTATTCCAGTCTGGCTCTGTGTTACCCAAATAGTGGGGAGAGGGCTGCCCATGGCGGCCTGCCAGTCTGCCCGTTGCAGAGGAGGCCCTGGGAGACATTTGTGGATGGTGTAGATTAATGGGTTTGGCCTCAGCCAGGGGCTTGTGCCCACCATAGCCTTAGCCCTGGTTCTCTGCCTTTGAAATACCTTGTCTACACCTCGTTCCCAAGTGTTCGCGTGTCGCCATCCCCCTATCCTCTGGCTTTCCTGGGTGGTCCTTGCCTCCTTTTGTGGTCAGAGGTGAGCTGTCCTCTGGCCAGTGCCTCATCCTTTTTTCCTCGCCGCTCCCTTCAGCATTGGTCCTCTCTTTCTTGCTTTCTTTGCTCTTTTTGTCTTTTTCTCATTTTTGTTTTCTCTCTCTCTTTAAAATTTTCATTATGGAAAAGTCCAAGCCTATATGAAAGTAGATGGAGTAGTGTGATGCCTCCCCAGTACCCGACCCCCAGCCTCAGCAATTGTCAGTCATGGCCAGTCAGCCACAGATATGTAACCGCAGATGTGCCTTGGCCCCTAGTGTTGGAAGTATCTCTACATCAGTGAGTGTATAAAAAAATTACTGGGGCGCTTGGGGGGCTCGGTCGGTTAAGCGACTGCCTTCGGCTCGGGTCATGATCCTGGGGTCCTGGGATCAAGCCCCGCATCGGGCTCCCTGCTCGGCGGGAAGCCTGCTTCTCCCTCTCCCACTCCCCCTGCTTGTGTTCCCTCTCTCGCTGTGTCTCTCTCTGTCAAATAAATAAAACCTTAAAAAAAATTACTAAAATATCATTATCACTGCTGTAAAAATTAAGTATCTTAGTATCAAACAGTATTCGGTATCTAGGATCAGTAGTCACATTTCTAATTATTTTACAAATATGATTTAAAACAACAGTTTATTTGAATCAGGACCCATAAAACCCTTACATGGTCACAGACTGGTATGTCTTCTAAGTGTCTTAGTGAGGGCTTCCTCTCCATCTTTTTCCCTTTGAAAACAGAAGGTCACTTCTCTGTCAGGGTCCTCGTGGAGTGGGCTTGCTGGTTACATCCATGTGATATTGTTGAAACATGTTGCTTTGATCACTGTATTTCCTGTAAATTGGTAGTTAGATTCAAGTTTGATTTAGGTGGTGTTGCATGCTTCCACCAGGAGATACGTGGTGTCTGGTGGTTCTGTCTTTTTATGACTTTAGAAGGCACTGAGCATCGTTGATTCTGTCCATTACTGCATTGAGGATTGCAGGATGTGACATTTTGATCCTTCATCCCTCCCCCGTTTATTAGCTGGGATGCTCTATAAAGAGAAACTTGCTCTCATCTGCTGTCGCTTGCCCTGATTTACGGTTTGTAGAGGAAAGGCAGGCTAACTATTTGATTCTTTCCCTTTATTTATTAGTTTTCACAATAATAAACGGTTCACTAGTAACCTCCAATGATGACCAGTTGTTTTTTGTTTGTTTGTTTTTGTTTTTTACCATATTACGCCTTCATGGATTAAAACATGTTTGATGTGTTTCAGTCCACTGAGTTATCATTCTCATCCGTGCTCATATTCTCCTTGTGGGCTGTGAGGGCCTCTTCAGGATGGCTCCTGAGTTATTGGATGTTACCTAATGAGTCTTTGATAGCTTCTTTGCTTTCAGGTGTGACGGGGAGTCCGGGCCCCGTTTGTACACTTCCTGGCCTGTCTCCAAGGATCTTGGTTTCTTTTCATGGGAAGTGGGGTTTAAATATCACAGCCTGGATGCTAGGGTGTTCACTGTTAATTGGACAGAATTAGAAAGTCTTTGTTTTTTTAATACGTCATGAGTGATCTTTGTTTTATTTAATACGTCATGAGTGATACTTTATAGTGATGCTTCAGGTTTACATACAGGATTACCAGGTGTTTGCTTAATGCTTTCCCTCTGGTATCCTTCTTTCCTTTTTCACTTGCATGAGGGTGCCTGTCCGGAACAACACTTCAGACGATGGCATTGGAACATTCCTTATTACTTGGTATTACTGCTGAACAGTTTAATGATAATCAGATTTTCTTTTGTAAAGTCAGTTGAAGTTTGCATAGCTATTCAGAGTGTTTTTCCCTTTAAAGTCTAGGAAATTCACCAGAGCAAGTCCTGGAATAGGGTCTTCTGGGGTCCGGAGTTGGTACTTGGTACCTCAGGTAGTGTTTCAACATGCAGTGGAAATTCTTTTTTATTTTATAGTTTTCTTAAATAGAGTTTTAATATTTGTTCTATACCTTTGCTTTGATTTTTCTTCTCTGGGTCTTCTGTTATTCATATATTAGATCGTCTTTGCAATATTTGTCACCTTCTCTTCAATCCTTTTTAAAACTTTTTATTCATTTATTTTATTTTTTTGTTAAAGATTTTATTTTTTTGAGAGAGCACGAGTGGGGGGAAGGGCAGAGGGAGAAGCAGACTATCCGCTGAGCAGGGAGGCCGATGTGGGGCTCCCTCCCAGGATCCTGGGATCATGACCCGAGCCGAAAGCAGACACTCAACCGACTGAGCCACCGAGGTGCCCCGACTAATGGTGTCTTTTGAAGTGCAAAAGTTTTAAATTTTGATGAAACCCAGTTTATACTTGAACATATAAATGTATCTTCTTTCTGAATTTCATTCTCAATAACATCCAAGTGTGAATCATCTTACTTTTTATGATTTTTGATATTCATGGTCTACTTGCCTAAGTTATTTTTACGAAGGATTCTGCACAGCCTGCAAGGCCTCTTGGAATGGATGGGTGGGTCTGTGCTGTGTTAATAATAGTCTGGTTATGGGCTAGAATAATACCTAAAACTTCAACACTTCTGATCTTAGTCGGGAAGCATGACTGTTGACCTTTGAGAGCAGGATCTTATTTCCATCACTGATGGTCCTGGGTGCTTTTGGCAGCTTTCTCCTGGGAGGCCTCCTGTCTTTGGCTGGTGCTGTTGGTGGCTCTTATTCTCAGCACCGCACCTTGCAAGTAGGCTGCTCGTCTGGATGTGGTGAAAGGGTCGAGTACAGAGCATACCCCTCCTCTGATTTTGTAAGGCCAGATAACGTATTCTCTCTTGACAATTTCAGGTGAAGGACTTAACGAAATACTTGGACCCCGGTGGGCTTGGTGTGATCAGTTTTGAGGACTTCTATCGAGGGATCACCGCGATCAGGAATGGAGGTCAGTCTCCCCCACTGTGTGTTTCCCTCTCCTCGTGTCCTCTGCTCCAGCCCTCGCCTTGCTGTGCCCTCACCCACCCTTAGGAATGCCCCTTTGGCTGGACTTAACGTCTTCCCTTCTCCTCCAAGCCCCTAAAATACCCTTGGGTTTCAGGGTGCTCTCTCCCTGTCCTTTGCCTATTTTTTTTTTTTTTGAGGATTTTATAGAAGTTGCCGGCTCACTGCCATGCTCCCCTCCTTCCTGCCCCAAGCTATCATTCTGTCACCCTCCTGAGAGAGGGCTCGTGGGCTGCCAGCCACAGAAAATAGCCCACTTCTAAGTGACGATGCGTGACAGAATGTCTCAGTTTGCAGAGGGTGCCGAGCTGAGCCAGGCCAGAGAACCTTTATTGCAAGTTTGTTTGGACTGAGGCAGAGATTATTTTCAAACACGCTGATGACAGAGAAGTAATCTTATATATAAAACTATAGAAGAGAGGGCTAAGAAGGTGAAGGCCATGCTGGGCAGGAGCCAGTGTGTCCTGAGTGATAATTCTCCACAAATCTTTGGGCTCCTGCTCTGATCACAGCCCTACAGGGGAGGTGAGTGTGGAGAGAAGGGGGCCATTCCTGCGCTGCTTCACGACTTAGAAAATGTTCTCAGACACCCCAGATCCATATACAGCCCCCTGTGCTGGGAAGGTGGCATTCATTAGTGAATCATTTCACAGCTATGAATAACTAGCTTCGAGTGACTTGCCCAAGGCAACGTCACGCGGGACCGTGGCACGGCCCTGGCGGGGGACCGTTCACGTGTGTTGTATGGTGCGCAACCCGTGTGGTCATTCACAGAGTCTCTGGTGGGATGGCCACACGTGCTTTGGACTCCAAATGCCCCATCGGTCACCTGCTGACCCTTCTTCCACCGGCTTCCTGTGGTCCTCGGGAGGGAACATGGGGCTAGACGCATGGAAGCTCTCAGGGTCTGATATGGCATACAGATTGGAGTGCTGGTACTCATAGTCAGCCTGAGTGCTGTTCCTGCCTCGGAAGGTAGCAGGGAGCATTAGTGAGATGTGCCTGGGGAGATTGGGGGCTGGGGTGGAAGCAGCTGATGACTGGGAAGGTGTTGTGGGTTGAGATTAATCATGATTCCTCGGTACTTTGCCCATTCGATACCAGATCCCCATGCTGTTCAGTTCCCCAATAAACGTGTACTGAGGAGGGGCCTGCTTGGTCCGGCCCATGATCCGAATGTCACAAATTGCAGCTTCAGTTGAATCCCGTGGGATAAATTTAATGCACAGCCTCTTTTTTCTAAAAGCCAATTCCTGTGTGTCCACCGTCTCCTGAATTGGGATGAAGCCTACAGGCAGAGTGTCCTTGATGTCAATGAGCTTCATATCCACTAACACGTTCCCTAAATGACTATTTTCTTTGGAAAATGATCTCATGAAACACAGGTATCTGGTAACCTTGGATTTAAATAAGCCGTCTTTCCAGAGGTCAGCGTCCACACCATCTGCTGTCTGTGCAACTACATCATAGCCTGTTGGTGCTCAGTTCCGAGAAGCCACCACCCCCACCCCCGTGATGGGATCCATCGACGTCTCTGGCAAAGCTTCTGAAAGGTCTTTGACTTCAGGCATGGTGGATTGGTCTGTTCCCCGCTGGGGCGGCGGCGGCTGCTGCTGATATAGAGAACAGGAGCCCCCGCCCACACCTGAAGTCCCACTGGGCTGGAAGATGGTTAACAGTGTGTGCTGATGCCATGATGTTTGTCCTGGTCTCCGCGCCAGCATTGAAGTACTCATCCTCCAGTCGTTGGGCAAGTTAGGGGTTGACATTTCACACTTTCCTCCATTAGGATGTCCTTCAGTGGAAGGCTGACCTCTGTCTTAGGATCTGCTTCCTTGGGAGCCCAGCTTGGTTGCAGTTGGATCTGCTCGCTCTTGAACAAACCCCTCCACCACTTCTGTGTCCCAGGCCTGGGGATTACAAATCAGGGAGGTAGTTTATTAGAAAAAGGAAGTCCGTGGTGTAGGGTGTTCCTCTGAGGGACTGGGTTAAGATTTCCTGATGATTAAGTCATAAAACAAGTTAAGCTCAAACTAACATGAGAGACTCTGAATGAAAGCACATCTTCTACACTCATGTCCTGTATTTCCAGGAAACACAAGCCAGGAGCAGGGCCTCCCTCCAATGAACCAGTGTTGGTCCAATAAATTCACTATAATTATCTTAACTCTCTGAACCTGAGGTTAAAGAAAAAAAAAAATTTATGTCTAACTCTAGTTGATCTCTTTTTACCTTTAATTCACTTGTTTGCTTTCGACTGTGGATTTGTTAGTGACTCTATAGTATTGTAAAGTATATGCTACAAACACTCTAATTCATAATTAGCCATTTTGATAAGCAGATGAGTCTTTTTTCAACTCCCTGCAGCTCTGAATAATACCTGTTCAGAGAAAAAATATATTTTAATACAGAAGGACAGGTCTGAGTACGGTTTACTAAAGATTGTTTTTCACAGAAGCAGTTGTAGATTCTAGATGATTCTATGGTTCCTAAATCCAAAAGCCATCAGAATGGAGGCACTTCCAACATCAAATAAACTTTCACACAAATGAACTTCTTCATCATTTTAGTTGATGTTCCATCATTTGGAGTAGTAGGTCAGATTACCTCTCACCTGAATTTTTGCAGGTCGTAGTGTCAGAAATGAGATGGAAAATTTCATACCAAAGCCCTTTACTTGAAGGGGCATGGCTGAAGCAGGCTGGAGTACCAAATGTTGTGTAATTATCAAATGGGAATAGGCCCCACCAGGCCCCTCTAGAATGAGCTTTGTGTAGACAATCTGCCCACTCTAATAATTGGGTGTCTATGGCTAGGGCTGCAGTATCTCTTCTACACAATACATGAAGAGATGCTTATCACAAGACTCTAAATGAATATTCAGTTAAGTATACCATGAGGACGTCTAAGCTTGTGTTGTGCAAATGGCTCTGTACTAAATGGTAAATTTTAAAATGTACAAGTAAATGAATAAAATACTACATATTTGGGATTAAAAAAAAACAAAACACCCTATGTTCCAGAACTAACTCAGCCTCCTATCCATAATCTTAGAAAGTTACTGCCCCTTTCCGTGGACATGCCAGAATATCGAAAGGCTTCCACACGAGCACCCACATGTACACTTGCTGTTGGTGTTCTGCAGGCCGCAGACTGCTTCGTTTCCATCGTTGTGGATCCGTCCATATTCTGCCTGGCCAACAAAGCCATTTTTTTTTTTCCAATGGTCTGCGTTTCAAATCATATACTCCCGTACACTTCACCCTAAGTGCTTCCACACATGTGGTAGTCGTTACTGAGAATTAGTGTTTGTGGTCTTACTTGGAGTAAAAATTTACTTATGGTAAGTGCACAAATCTTAAGTAAATCTTAAGTCACTCCGAACTCTGACAGTTCTTAATGCCTAGTGATGGAAATCCCTGCCACGTGTTATCATCACCAGAGACAGTTCCCTCACGGCCCTCAGCGGCCCCTTCCTCCTCACTACACCACCTTGGCTGATTTTCATCACCCGCGATCAGCTTGGCCTCTCGTGGGCTTCGTTCACACAAAGGGAATCATCAGCATGTGCTCTCACATGTGACTTCTCCCTTTGTGGTGTTTCTGAGATTCATCCATGTTGCATGGATCAAAGTCTGGTTTTCAATTGCAGAGCAGTGTCCCATTGTATGTTTGTACCACATTTTGTTGATCTCTTGCCCAGGGGGGTGGACACTTGGTTTTGGCCTACCATGTCTCCAATTTGGGGCTGGGATGAATACAGCTCCTACTGACGTTTATGTATGTCTTTTTTTTTTTTTTAAGATTTTATTTATTTATTTGACAGAGAGATAGCACAAGTAGGCAGAGAGGCAGGCAGAGGGAGAGGGAGAAGCAGACTCCCCCCTGAGCAGGGAGCCCGACGCGGGGCCCGATCCCAGGACCCTGGGATCGTGACCTGAGCCGAAGGCAGACGCTCAACGACTGAGCCACCCAGGTGCCCCATTTACGTATGTCTTTGTGTGGACACGTGTTTTCATGCCTTTGGGGCCTGGACACAGGATGGGATGGTTGGTTTTGTGGGTTTAAGCTTAGTTTCTTACACACTCTCATGGTGCCCATAGGCTGTCCCTTCACTTCGAATACTGGAGCTCTGGAGAGCCCTCTTTTTCTCATGACCCAGCTTCAGCCAGGTGTGTTGGGGGTGATGGTGGCAGGAAGGCACTGGTTGCAGGCTCTTCCCTTCTTCCTGCACTTGTCAGAGAAGGAGGAGGAGGAGTAGACCTGGACAGGACCCGCAGTGGCCAGGTCAAAGGATGCCCTTGGACCTGAAGTCTTATCAGCAGGTGTTGGTAGAGTTACCTGTCTTGTGTGTCCACTCTATTGCCCAACAGTGTCGCAGAGGGGCTGGGTTTCCTAAAACACCGAGGCCAGGTGGCTCTGAGATGCGCTCTGTGTATCGTGACCTGTATTTACCCTTTGCTCTTTCACCCAGTCAGTCCACACACACATGAGTACCACCATTGCCCAGGGACCCTGTGGGCCTTCGGGTCCAGAGCACACGTCAGTGTGGTGGGTGGGCGCCGTGCCATAGGACCACCAGGCCAGCTCCAGGTAGGGGCCCTCTCTGAGGAGGGCTGGAGTGAGGTCTGGTCCAAATGATGGAGCTGCTCTGAGGCCTGTGTGATGAGCATGACTGAGCTTGAGGATGGAGAGGCTGCAGGCCCTGGGGCTGCTGTGAGGGTGGCACCACTTCCGGGGCAGATGGTGCCTGGTGGGGAGACATGGAGAGCGGGTGGGGCAGCAGACCCTCTGGGAGGTGGTAATGGCAGGGGCTGGGCGATGTGAGTAATGCCAGGTGGGCTCGGGGATGAGGAAGAGAGCCCTTGGGTGACTTAGCGTCACATGCCTGTGTCTCTATCCGTGTAACCAGTATGTGGTAACCCTTATGTGATTTTCCGAGGT